TATGTTGAACAGATTCGTGCTTTAGATCTGAAGAATAATTGTCTTTAATCCTGGGAATTTATAGCAATTGCCGAATAGGAGTAAAAGCTCTTGAATTAAAACATTTGATACGGTTATCGTTTTCCTTTAGCTATATGGCCTTAGGTAGCATCATATAAATATTATCTGTCCCAGACGCCGAAGCAGAATCAGATAAATGTGGGTTAGAGTTATATTTCTTATTTCTTTTTTTATGATGCTTGTAAATAGACTGTAGAATCCCTTGGTACATATTTTCATGTGTTTTCATGTATGACAGTCGTGACTTTCACAGACATGATTGTAAGAATAAGCACTATTTATTATCTTTTATTGATATTCTAATAGATTTATTCATTAAATTGAACTATACTAGGTTGTGCCATCAATGACAGCCCATTTTAATTGTGTAGAAACAATGTATAAATACTGTATTATCCATCACAAACTTTACATAATGCAAAAGAATAGTCATGCAACAACAAACCATTTTTAGTCAAACTGGAAATTCATTTGCACAAGTTACGACTTTTGAAAATGGTTTGTCCATTCGTGAAAGGTCTGCAGTCTAACACATTGTTTTTTTTTCTTTTTCTCCTTTCTTTCTTATGCTGATTCTCCCTAGGCTGATGATGCTATCAGTCGTCCTTGCTTTTGTTGATACAGGGTGGGCTGCTCAGGATATTTCTTTTATATTGCTCCCCGCAGTTTCTCTAGGAACCTACATGCCCTCACCTACTATCAGGGCCAAGTTTGTGGAGTATTAGTAGGTTCAGGTCATCTGAACAATTACAAGTCATATGTTCATTTTTGCACAAGTCCTTAATTTCTGCGTAAGTAAACCCTGTCCCCCCCCCCCCCTAAATAGGTTTAAAGGACCTGTGAGATATTGGCAAGTATTAGGAGGGTAGGTCTTGGAGTGGTTTCCTTTTTGACATTAAATCTTGTGGGTGCACCATTAGTGTGTATACTATATGAGATATCCCCCTTGTAACTTCTTGTCAAATAAGGAACCAGATAAAGCTTCATTTTGTCAAGTATACATAGTGAGTTTATTGGCCTTTACTAGAGCATGAAGCTCAAAAACTGCAACATTACTTTATGTAATCCTGCATTAGCATTCATCATTTAATTGATTAGATGGAGTTCTGCTTAGCTTTAGCCTGTGGTATATATGTCTGAAACCCTATATTTACCCAGTGATGTTATATTAATTTTATAAGTTTATATTTATTATTATGTGTGTATTAATGTAATGTTATGCTTATAGTGTTTGTTTTCAGTAAGAATTGCTAACCTTATTTTCTTTTAACAGACGAAAATGACAAAAAGTTTTAAAGCAAAGAAAGCTCAAAAGGCTGACTTTGCCAAGAAGAAAATTAAGGTTGGGAAGAAGTTGAAGAAGGCACAGAATGAGACACGAACAGATTTCAAGGCTCGGAAAATTATCTTGAAGGAGCAGCTGGTAGAAAAATCAGACAGCACGCTGGTTACTAAGAAGCATCATAGTGTGAAGGTGAGGATATTTTTTACCAAAATGAGTGTGAGAGCTATTTTGAAGGTTATGTATATACTTATATATATATATAAGAGAGAGAGAGAGAGAGAGAGAGAGAGAGAGAGAGAGAGAGAGAGAGAGAGAGAGAGAGAGAGAGAGAGAGAGAGAGAGAGAGAGAGAGAGAGAGAGATAGAGATAGAGATAGAGATACATACATACATACATACATACATACATACATACATATATATATATATAATATGTATATATATATTTTTTAATGAATTTTGCTAGTATTTTATCATATATATATCTTACAGACATCATCCTAATTCTTTCTTCATAATCTTTGTGAATGGACTAAAGATAATCGTGCATCAGCCACAAATGAGCATATTTTCAGTCAGTCAAAAGCTTAAGTTGCTTTACCTTACAAAAATAGATTGTAATGGTTAAGAAAGACCAAAAATGTGTGTGTGTATCACTTATTGATGTAATTGAATGAGTGTGGATAAAGTGGTGCCCTGTGGATGTCCACCTAATATTATTGTTTGTGTCCATGAGTGGCTGATTTAAGTTTTTAACATTTGCTTTAAAAAAGAAAATAATAATTAAAAAAAAATAAAAAATAAATAAATCCATGTGATTGATTTTCCAGGAACTGATGACAAGGTTAGAGCATCATAATGCACAAGTACGCAAAGAGGGAGTGAAAGGAATAATGGAGCTGGTAACACACCATAATGCATCAGAACTCATTCCCTATTTATCAAAGTTAGTCTTAGCCATTTCACCAATGACGCTTGACACTGACTCTCCCATCCGAGGCACTGCTGTCAACTGTATACAGGCACTGATAACAAAGGTAGGTATTGTTGAGATCACTTTATAAAGCATCATATTCATTATGTGAGGTAATCATGATCCATGGCTTAGTTTTGCATTTTATAATTTTATTTGATGTACAATATTAACTTTTTTTCAAAATTGTCTTTCATTCCAGTTGGGTCCAAATATGCAACCGTATTTTAGCATTTTGTCAACTTATTTGTCCTGTGCTATGGCCCACCTTAATGTTGGAGTCCAGTCAGACTCCTTGAAACTGATGAATGTCCTTGTTGTACATACGCCATCTCTTATTGCAAGACATGCTAATACTCTTCTGAAGAATTTTATTGATCTCATCTCAAGAAAGGTAAGGATGTTGATAGATTAATTTTGGTTGATATATGTCTATATTGATATTGTTTTCATCACTGTAAGGTATCTAGTAATACGTTGGTGTTAACTATGCTACTGAAATACAATAAGTAATGTGTTTTTCTTTAATGTAAAGAAAATTATTGGAATTGTTTTTTATTCCCTTTATTCACATTGGCTCTAGAAATGATAAGTTATTGGATCCAGAATCTGTATTGCATTTCGTTTTATTTTGCACATTTTCCAAGTCATAGATAAGTAAGGGAACCAAAATCAGTATTGTAAATTCTGATATTTCTTCTTTTTTTTCTTTTACTGCAAACTAAAAAAGGCATCTGGAAGCATTTCAAAGATCAACAGTCTAGCAGGCACTGACCGGGTTTTGCATGTAGACCCAAACAGTGCATTGACAGGGCACAAGTTCCGGTTGAAACTGCTTAGTGAACTCAGTGCCTTTCTTGAGGCACTTGTCAAGGAGCAGAAACACGTGGAATCTCAGATCCCACAATCAATATGGCAGGTTGGTTCTAGTTTAGTAATTTTATTGCAGTATATTTCTTACTTCTTTGGTCCTATGAATAATGTATCCACTTACATTGAAACCTTCAGCTTAGTGTGAAAAGATTCATGTCATTAAACATCTGAATACCTAATTATCTCTCACTCTTTTTTTCCACACACACATGTGAGTACTCATGCACATATGCACAAGCACACAGACACACGTAATAGACACAGACACATACACAGATACAGACACACACACACACAATGACAGACAAACACACTTGCATGACCATCATATATATGTATATATATGTCCATACCTATATCCATATAGACTTACACATCATTGTAGTTCTCTTTGACTTTCTAGTAGAATATTTATAGTATTTGAAGTGAGAAAGATTATACAAACAGCATTTCTTTCATTTAGACTGTATTGGTTGGTAGTGTTCCTCCCTTGCTGTGTGTTGAATCTGTCCAAGGTGAAGCAGACGGATTTTGGCTCTTCAGTGATCCCAACCAGCTGAACAACTTCAGTAACACCATAGTTCCCCTGCTGTTTGATGTGTGGGCTGAAGTTGATCCACAAGCCTCAGGTACGTTTTATTTCTTTCTTCCCTGTTTTATGTTGAATACCTTTTGGAAATCATATCCTAGATTTTCCGAAAGTTTTACTGTTTATGACAAGATGCTATCATATCTTTTGCAGTTTTATGTATATTTATATGCTTGTTTTGTTGGACATATTACCAGGTTTTATTCTACAGACTCTTCATGTGGCCTTGCAAATTTTCAGGTTGTACTGCTGTTAACAGTGAAACAGTTGAAACCCTCGAGTGCATCATGAATATAGTTAAACATATGTGGGACATTACACAAATATGCACTCAGGAGAACCCAAAGAATGTGAGTTGAAAAAATTGTCTTATGAATACCTGTTCAATTAGAGAACTTACTACATAAAAGTCCATATGGCAGATTTACATGAAATTTCAGAGAGTTAGTATATCTCACAAAGAGATATAAGTGCATTGTTGATTTTGTTACTGTCAAGAATTTAAATATAAAGGGCTTGGCTCTGTGCATTTTTAAATTTTAACATTTGTCTTTGTGTATACATTTTTATTAAATAGTTTATATGTAAAAATACATTATTTTATCAAATTTATTTTTTCTCTCAGTCAAAATGGGTGATGACAGAATTCCAATCAAAGTTCTCATCCAGGCTCATGAGTGGGTTTCCATACTTGTGCAAGGGAACACCCAAGACCAAGAAAGCTAAAAAACGAAAGTAAGTGTTTTTATTACCCTGGAGAGTGTGAGAAGATATGGAGAGACTGGGATAGTGAGAGAGAATGAGAGTGGGAAAGAGTGAGATTTTAACCTCACTTGTATCTATTTTTATTATGATTTCTTCTTGTGTGTTTCATTAAAGTGTATCATTATTAGTTCAGCAGTTATGCTTATTTTTTTTCTCTATTCTGAATATAAACCTGAAAAATAAGAGTGTTCTTATCTATTTGCATTTTTGTTTATTTGAAAGAGTGCATGTAGGCAAGGACTGTGATTGTGTATTATTTACCTTTGGGTATCCACTAGGTCTGGTGGCAATGAGGGTCCCACTGATGCAGATGACGATGATGATGAAAACGTGAAGCACTGTGACAGCCTTAATATTTCCCTTTGTGAATTTGCAATGCAACTATGTACTTCTAACATTAAACAACGAGTCATCAGCTACCTTACAGGTGAGATTTTCTTTTTTTCTCTTTTTTCCAATTAATGAACCTGTCATATCCTCAGTCAGTAAATTATTTTTATTTTCTTATTTATTTTTCTCTCTCTCTTTTGAATACATTGCATTCAGCATAAAGGAAAAATAGCTACATTTTATTCTTGCCTGATTTGAAATATGATTATCATTTCAGCATTACTGAGTGACAGCAGTCGAGATGGAGAGTACAAACTGGAAAGTATTGTGAAAATGATCCTCAATCTTCTCCAAACTGCAACCAAGTCAGAGGTGCAGAGACTTATAACTGCCAGCCAGATGTGCTATGCTCGCTTGCATCCCTTGAAGAAGGATCGGGGAAATCTGTTGCAGATTCTCCTTGTTGCAACAGATCATGACCATACTTACCTGTGGAGGTATGCATATATGAATTATTCTTGTTATGGTTTCCTTTTGCTTAGTTGATTTTCTATTTCTGATTTATATGTCTGTGCATATTTATATTATTTTATGGATTTGTAGTTGTACAATAAATATTGAAAAAAGTTGATAATAGTCATAAAGCATAAGATGGCCAATAGATCTTTTTCAGGATATATAAAAACATATATAATTCTTTTCCTACTATATTATACTTCTTGTTTCACTGAAGAAAACTTGACAACACATTATTATTTACATTATTAACACACATTATTCATAATGCTTAGCATAGAGTTTGTCCAAAATATAGAAATTGCAACAGAATGAACACAAAGAAATATAGTTAAAATCAACAGAAAATATATCCATGAAGTTGTCACAGCACAAATAAAATTTTACATTTCTTGTTCAGATTTTCAAGCATAAGTCTGTGGGTAGAACAGATAGTAAAAGACCTTGAAAATGGAGAAGTGACAGAGCAGGTCTTGCAAGTGGCTCTCATTCTCCGTCTTCGAGGGAACACCAGGATCAGGAATATGCTACATGCAAGAAGAAATGCTATCAGAGGTGATTAGAATGTATAGTGTTAGTAGAAAATATATCATATTAATATCTATGCAATTTGTGAAAAATTATCTTAATAATATATGTTTATTCATATATATATATATATATATATATATATATATATATATATATATATATATATATATATATATATATATATATATATAATATGTATATATATATTTTTACTTGTATGTATATGTATATATGTATGTGTGTGTGTGTGTATGTGTATGTCTATCATATTTTTTATTTATATACTATTTCTTTCTTTTCAGAGGAAATTACATCAAAAGGGATCAAGACACTTACAACAGAGCAAATTGAGAGTAAACTTGAATTTCTTCTGAAAGATTTACTTTAAACATTTGAATAAATATATGTTTATTATTATTGTTGTTTTCTTTTTAAAGAATGTAATTACATTCATAAAAAATATGAAGAAAAATTGTAAAGGGCATCTACATACCAGTGCATTAAAATAATAGCTACTCATAACAACTTTCCATGTGCTGCTCTCTAACTCTTCATGCAGTAGATACAAGAGTGCCTACAGCTTGATAATATATCTATAATTTCATAGTCACAGAAATGCCCAGACTTTTGGATGTTATGGCCTCCAACCAGTGAACATGTTCTTAATCACATATATTTTCTATTTGCTCTATCCAGTTTAGAGTCACATTTTCAGAGAGAAAAAGTGATCACAAGTCTTTTTAAAATTTAATGGGCTGTAGTTGCAGTTTCCTGGAACAAAAATCCATACTAAAGTAAAAGGAGTATAAATCCAATTAACACTGAACATTATAATATGTTCCTTGGTAATCTGTTAAAAGTATTGAAATTAATGATGGTTTACAGTGAGGTTCAGAATGTATCTTTTATGTATTGCATTATGAGCAACTCTGACAAATGGTTGAATTTTTGCAGTTAAAAGTTGAGTACAAAAGAAGTACAATTTGGTACAATTTTGCTTAGCGAGATGTGATTCATTCTATTATTTTTCTTCCCTTTTCTCTATTGAATACTAGCCTATTACAAGAATCTTTCCTCAGACTATATTCCTTTTCCAACCAATCACATTCAAGGGCACTATTTCATACCGTACCATGCATATGTAATTCTTTATGCATGGTTCAGAATCTACAGGCACTCCCTTAAAGGTTCCATAAACTAATATTTGTATTAATGGATCATCCTAGTGCATACAGTATTGGAAAGAATGAATTCAGCATTTTTTAAGAGTAATAAAAATTCACCAGAACAGTGCCCTATAATTGATAAGAACTATGTACAGCATTTGGTGTACTCCCAAAATACCCAGCATACATGTTAGCTGGAACTTTAGTTTTTTGTTACTGAATGTGCACACCAGGATAACCAGATTTCCAAACTAAGAGGCCCCTTAGTCAACAGTAGCCAGATTAACAACTTTTACTACTGACAAAGTGGAACTGTTCTTCAGGGTGACGAAAATTTATGTTGAAGTGATGTGTGTGTGTCTGTTGCATTCACACTAAGCGGTGTGCAGGAAAAGCTTTTGGGTAGCACAAGGTGTCGCAGAACGTAGATCCTGGCAGAGTTAGTTCTGGGTCACCAAATGTTTTTTTCGATAGGTATAAATATTAATTTATTTGGAAATTATGATATTCGCTGTATCTCAGTTCCCTATCTTTTGATTTTTATTTGTCCAACAAGATCAACAATTATATATTACTATGGAATTAATTAAATATCTGCGCTGTTTCCAAGAATGGATTAATTATGTGAGTTCGCCAAGTTCCCACACTAACACTAAAGTGCCTATGCAGATCAAAATATCAGAAGCAGAATACGACCTTTTGATTAATTTGGCACCACCGTTTGACTGAAACAGACTTGAGAGCAAAATGGCTTTAAAAAAAGAAAGCTTCAAAACATAGACAATACATCATAGACAGGGAAAGCGTTAAGATGAAATCGTTATGAGTCACTCAGCATGACCTTCGCTATAAGCATGACCTGCCCCAATCCACATCCTGCATGGCGAGCTACTTTGTTACCTTCAAGGGCAGCCTCCGATATTTCTGTAAATTGTGCGTGTGTGCGTGCGTGCGTGTGTGTGTGTGTGTGTGTGTGTGTGTGTGTGTGTGTGTGTGTGTGTGTGTGTGTGTGTGATGTGTGTGTGTATGTGTGTGTGTGTGTGTGTGTGTGTGTGTGTGTGTGTGTGTATGTGTGTGTGTGTGTGTGTGTGTGTGTGTGTGTGTGTGTGTGTGTGTGTGTGTGTGTGTGTGTGTGTGTGTGTGTGTGTGTGTGTGTGTGTGTCTGTGTGTGTTTGTGTGTTTCTGTATATCTGTATGTGTTTGCACGTGGTTGTTTGCATATATACCGTGGTGATTCATATATATGCACCTGTATTTTTTTCTATCTGCGAATAAATTATCCTATAGTAAGTTCCAGAAGCATTTTCAGCTGCCTAAACATAAAGCAGCAACAGGTATCGGGAAGCAGCCTTTAAAATGTTGAAATGGCGATATGTAAAACACTAAGGCGACTTATCAGTGTTACCAGATCCCCCTCGGATATCAAAGAAAACACAATCAGTAACCAAAAAAACAACAAAAAGTGACAAGTAAGCAAGTACTCGAACGGTATTTCATACATATAACTTAAAGAATTCTATTTCACATTACAAAACTAAAGAACCGAAGCTATCAAGGAACAGCCCCAAGCACGGGGTTTCTCGCAGTGACGGACATGGCACCAGCGCCGCAGCCCCCATCCACATCCTGGCATCTTGACAGTGAGTTCCCGGACGTCAACCAGTCACAGCTGATAAACTCCAGTCATGTTAACGCGTCGGGATCTTGACACCCTTCTCCTCCTTGAGAGTCACGTGTCTCTTCCCTCTTCCTTGAATCACGAGCGTCGGGCGGTTTAGTTTGGTTGAAAGCGTTCCACGGGGATGGGCGTTGGAGGGCAAAATGGCGTGGTTTTCGTTTCGTGGTTTCAGGTGGAAGTTCAGGTCTTGACACGGCTGGCATGTCATTTCTGCTTTGTGTCATGTGGGCTGACAGGGTCGGAGTTCTCATGATTGCGGTTCAAGGCGATGGGTTGTGTTGGTATGCTGCTAAAATGCAAGTGTACTTTTGTACTGAAAGATGTATTCCTTTGAAGTTTGATCATCATCTAAAAAAATAAAAGTGATGTAAGCCTAACAGGATGTTCATGTTACTGAATTTTAAGAGAAATTTAACAACTGAATAATGTTATACACAATTTATATTGGCAATCATTTTTTAGCATTTCAAAAGATTAAATGTAATTATAAAAAGATAATGTACTTCATCAGCTTTTCATACTTCACACTTGACATGAAAGTCTTAGGAAATTACCTGTCACTTCAAAGCAAATGTTTCTGTAGTGGTTTAGTTTACTTTAACATAATTTCTATACCTGAAAGTTAGGCCAAGGCAAAGTAAACAATTGTTACTATTTGATGTTTTGTGTTAACAAGATAAAATTTAAAATATGCATAATTATTGAATTATGATAAAGAAAAAAAATATTTATAGTATTATGTTCCTTCAGGTATAGGAAATGTCAGAATTTCAGTTGGCAGCCAAATGCACAGAAATTTTGCCTCTAATATTTGCTATTTTTGTTTCTGTTTATTGTTATAAGTTGCTACAGTTTATGAAAATAAAAAAAGACTAGAACTTTATTGTACAAGACAGGTTTTGATTGAAACGTGGCAAATGTTCAGATGAGCCTTTGAGCTCAGATGTCTTTGAGCCAGTTTGTGTGATCCCTGCGTGTGGCAGTGCGCAGGCAGAATCAGCAAGACGACCTGGTAATTCATTATCAAATAAGAAACCAGGCCAGTTGAGTCATGTTTGAATTCACTGTGGATGCTCTGTAACTATTTACTGTATTTGATGATTTAGACACAAAAGTTAGATTTTTAATTTAACAGAAAAAAAAAAAAAAAAAAAAAAAAAAAAAAAAAAAAATATATATATATATATATATATATATATATATATATATATATATATATATATATATATATATATATATATATATATACATATACATACATATACATGCATATTGTTTATTTTACAGTAATAGAATTTAAAGTATGGATATTGAATGAGTCATATCAGTAGCTTATAGATATATAAAAGATTTTATTATATACTGCTATGAGAATAAGGATATGGATACAACTGTTAGAAAATTATTGCCTGAACATTGATTAAACTTGCACATGCCTCTTCATAATTATAAATCATATGCATAAGCTTTATATTAGACTTATAAATGAATATACAACATAAATAACATAATGATATAAAATTCACTATTTTTTCAAAACCTTTCTGTCATATAACATGATCAGACCTTTTCTCACATTATTTTTATATTTTTAATAAAGAAATATTTATTATCAGTGAAAGTGATAGCTATTTGAACCTGTTCACATTAATATTTTTCTCGTGTATTGACTAGATAATACTGAATTTATTTTGTTGGTTTTAACTTAAGTTTATAACTTTTTCATGAGTTTATTTAGCATCCTTTAATACTTTTTCATAGATATATAATAGAGTAGTCAAGATTTACATATTTAAACTGTATTACTATTCACAGAAAGTGATGGAAACAGTAGAAGCAGTGGCCAGTAGCGAAGATGGGCAGACTGAAGCAAAGAGAATTCGTCTGTTAGTGGCACCTGATGCTGGAGAAGGTCATTGGCCTATATTCACGTAGATTTCTTAGGTATCAGTGACAGAGAGCAGATGTCCCATATAATGATTCATGAAATTCATACTGCACATATGGAAAAGGGAATATAATGATTTTTGTTTTCCATTATTAACAGCTTCATCAAAGTGTGAGCAACTACATGGTGGATCCGCTGAACAGACAACTAGCATCTTCTTGTACAGTGCTGATGGGAATCTCGGTAAGTTTGAAACAGTTTTTCATTAACTATTGTAGATTGATGTTATACTCATGAATTTTATATAATGTATCTGTGCTTCACTGACTGTTCAAAACTTCTCTTTTCTTTCAGTTCCTGCAGAGATTGTTGTAGACAGTTTGAATGAAAACATCATTGCTGTCCCAGTAGAGAGTAGTGTACTGAAGAAGGAGAAAGTTACAAGAGTGTTGGAGGCACCCAAAATTCTCAGAACCACTGAAATTCAAGGAATAGGTCCCAAAAAAAATACTAAAAACCAAAATATTACGTTGTTACAGTCTCGACCTCAGACATCAAACACTCGGACTAAGTGTGTCATTCCTTCAATATTGCAGGCCAAACCCAAGCATCCATTGCAAAACACAGTCACTAAAAATATTGTTATTACATCACATACTCAAAGCAAAATCCCAGCAAAGCCAGAGCCCCTCAGCACGAAGATCCTGATAACCTCAGATGGACAGGCAAAGCCCCAGCCGATACTGAGTTCAGCGGCCCTCAAGATGCCTTCACCTGTGGATATGCATGTCAAGGCACAGCTTTCTGATTTTATTGAGGATCGCTTGTCCTTGCTTGGCGATGTGTCAGAAAAAAGTGGAGGTCAAGGGTTAGTGAAATATGCCATTTTCTTATTTCTCAATCATTTGTTGCTTAATTTCAAGTTATTGAATCAATTTGGTAATAACAAGTTTTTGTTAATGAAAACTATTATAGAAATCATACTGTCAAATTGTGTGTATATATATATAGTACTAATTAGTTTTTCTGATGGCAGTATTATATTTTGTCATATTCAGTTTAAAAATAATAGTTAGAAAAAAAAAGTATGAGAAGGTTTTAAAGTTAAATTTCTCTAAGGAAAATAGACCTGTTGAGACAGATCATCATAGAGCTTAGTAGAAGGAAAATAAGTATGCATTAGATAAATTTCTATTGTATACCTACTGAAAATTTTCATTTATTCTCATTCATTGAAGAGGTGGAGGTGCCTGTCAGACAGTGGTAATGCGTGCCAACAGTCTGGGGGAGCTGGAACTGGACCCAATGTTTGTCACTGGTGAGGGACTTATCGAGCCTGATGGGGAGGAAGTGAGGCTTGCAGCAGCCTCTGACCTGAGCCCAGGAGATCGTCTGAACTGCAGCATATTGGTAATGTAATCCTCATATATATGGAGGGAACATGTCCTTTTCTATATGGAATAATAAAGCACTTGTATTATTTAATCTTCATATACTTTTATATTTGTTCTTCTAAAATGATTTTCATTTTTAGTAAGTAAAACTTCTATTATAGGCTGGAGTAAATAAAACCGAAGATGTAAATATTGCTGAAGAAGTGCAGGTTGACTTACAGCCTTCCACAGCCAGAGTTAAGGTAATAATTGTGTATGTTTTAAACCCAAAGGTCCTATCTACCACAAGCTTGGCAAAATCCAAAAGTACCCATAATCCTATCCACCACCATCATGGATGCCTGTCAAAAACTCCTGATTATAAATGATATGTATGTAGTGTTTTATAGTACTCCTTGTACTGTTTGGCAAGTTTTCATCAGCCCCACTGAAGATATTACCCCTGTATCCTCACTCCCCTTGTAGGACCCCCTGTGCCTGACCCAATGGCAGAGCTGTGTTTTTCTGCCTCAGTCTTCTTGTAAAGGAAACATAGGGAGCATGAGGTCATAGTTCTAGTGATGTATGGCCTATTTTATCCAGCCAAACCCTAAATCATCTCCTCTTGTTTTCATTCATACATGGTGCAAAGCTACTATCTTATTCTGGTTTAGTGTATAGTTAATCTAACAAATTTATTTAGTAGAAAAGGTCTATCAGAAGAAGTAGAAGGTAAATATTCTTTTACCTCAGTAATTTTTTCCTAAATGATAACTATGATTTCATAGACAAGACTTACAATTTTTCATGTATTTTTATGTAATTAGAACAGATCAAATGTAAATTTTGTTCTAGATTTTTAGTTCTATAATTATTTTTCATTGATTATTTCTATAGTTAGGATAGTTAGGTAAGTTATTTATGGACAAACTGAATGTTCAGAATTTTTTCTTTATAGATGGCTCTTTTCTCAATAAGTGTACATCAGGTAAATCAAGAACTCTTTTGGCAGTTGTTTGTCAGTGAAGCAGCTGCTGTAGGTTTTATATTCTTATATTAAGTAACATCTTTATGTTGGGTATGGAATTGTCATAGACAAAAAGTGTCTTAGATTTCATCATTTAATTGATTTTATGCAATGTTTGCCTTGGAGGTGATGTATGTCATAAACAAAAAAATACCCTTAGGTATTGTTTGCATATAATTTAATTCTTTAGTACACTTTTTATTTTTAATGTTGTATTTTTCTAGGGTAGCAGTGGCAATGTCAACCAAAACTGGTTCACATCAAGAGAGGATAAGCAAATGTTACGATGGAGAGGCCATGCTTGGAGACAAGGAATGTGGTCTAAGGAGGAGACTGACATGCTTCAGCAAAACATTGAAAAGTACTGCTCTGATCGTGGACTCTCTGACCCAGCCTCGGTCATTTTCAAGATGTCCAAGGAAGAGCGCAGTGGATTCTACCGGGTTATTGCCCAGGGCCTTAATAGACCACTCTTTTCTGTGTATAGAAGAGTCATTAGGTTAGTATCTCACCTGGAATAGGCCTTAGCTGTAGGATGACACTGAAAACATTAGTATAGTGTTGAGAAAGGAATGTCAAATCCTAAAGATGATAAGTATCAAGACATTAGTATTTGATTTCAGGCTGTATGATAATAGAAACCACATTGGAAAGTACACATCTGATGAAGTTACAAAATTACGAGAGCTACGTATGAAACATGGCAACAACTGGCAAGCTATTGCAGCACATCTTGGACGGTCAGCTGCTTCTGTGAAGGACCGCTGCCGACTCCTGAATGAGAACTGCAACAGGGGTGTCTGGTCACCTGAGGAAGAGGACCGATTGGCAGAGGTTGTGTATAACTTAGCGAGTGCCCTCCCAGGAGAACAGGTAAAGGAGTACCATAATTGTCATCTGTCAAGAGGTTGTATTAAATAGTAAATAATGAACAAAATAACTTTAGTTGTCTTTTCTGGAAGTAAGTGACGTTATATTAGTATTTTTTATTTATTTCTGCAGTTTAGATAATTAGCTTTGCATAACCCATGAATGATAATACATAAAAGTTTTTGTTTGTCAGGTAACAAGTGGAATTTCTTGGGGTGAAGTCGCTGCAAGGGTTGGTACCAGGTCTGAAAAACAGTGTCGAACAAAGTGGTTGAATTATCTGAACTGGAAGCGTACATCAGGGGTAGAATGGAGTAAAGCAGATGATGTACAGCTGATCTGCAGGTAGTTGGAGTTAGAGTTGTCTTTCTAAGGAATGGTTTATCACTGAAGTTTATGTTCATATTTTCCTTGTAAAATTGAATTTGATATTATGGTGTGATCTTTCTATTCTAATTGTGGTACTTATTAGGAGGATTTATTTAGAAATAAAAGTGATGTACAATAGGAACTGTACTGTATTATATATTTGTTATCTCCTTTGTAGACTCAGTGTGTGTGGTGTTCAGGAAGAGTCACAGGTGGACTGGACAGCACTCGCGCGTGGATGGCCAGCATGCCGCTCCCCGCATTGGCTGAGAGGGAAGTGGTGGAACCTGAAAAGGAAACTACCCAATGCAAGTCAAGAATCAAGCCTTAGAGGTGGGGTCATGTTTCATTTATTAGTTATAAAACTATTTTCATATTTTTACCTAATTAGGTTTTCCTGATTTTAATAGTGTACAAAATATTATTGAACATAGCAAGGAAAATAAACACGAGCTAAAACAACTTACTCTACCCACAGAATACACAGTACTTGTTTCCATACAATCACTGACAGGTTCCTTACATGGGATTGCCCAGTCACAGCTGTATAGTTATTTGAAGATTAAAACAAAGCATTGTAAGAGGCACAACCATGGTAAAATTCTATTTCTCTTGCACTGCATTTTATTTGGACTTGCTTTAGGTTCAGAATCAGAAAGGATTGTGCAGAAAGGAATACCTTCCTGTGAAGAGTATGACATGATATTTCATGCTTTGTCATCATCAGATTGATTATTATTACATTTTATGAGAGCAAGTGTGTGTGTGTGTGTGTGTGGGGGGGGGGTTCTGTGGGTGTGTCTTCCAAGGTAAGCAGTCAAGGGGAGGAGATGCTTTGTTTTGTGTATGTGCGTTTGTGTGCACGTGTGCTTGTGCATGCGCAAGTGCATGAGAGAGAGGGGAGGGGAGGAAGGGAGGGTGGGAGATGACACTGATTATTGTAGAAATCCTGGGATAACATTCAGTGAACAATTTCATATTTTTGGTCCAATCAGAAATGTGTCAGCAGCTGTACAACCTTCAGTCACTCAGTCTCATGCAGTCAACTTTAGTGGAACTACCAGCTACTGCAGTTAACTCTGCTGCAGCAACATTAACAAGTGCAGGTTCCACAACAGGTGTTACTAAAAACCTATTGTCTGGGAATCAGGATAGTCTAGCAACAGGAAGTGTGAAATTATGCATCCCAGCTGCTAACTTTTCACATATCATCAACTCAGGTGGGTTATGTTTATAATGTCTTACACTATGATCAGGAACTATTATTTATTGAAAAATAACTTTTTCCATGGAAAGTTACATCATGGCTTTTATTCAAGATGCTAACTTAGACACATGTTTTATTATGTTTTATTATCCTTAAGCAGATGATGGTGAGGAAGATATGGCATCAAAGTTAAGTGGATTAGTGCAGACAGCCTTGGTGGTTCCAACAAGCAGCAGCTGTTCACCTCAAACAGTGACCACATTAGTGTCTCAGCCTCAAGTGCTTTCAACAGCCTCCCTAGCAACGCCTGTCACTACTCAACTCAGTCCTCACCTTACTAGTCAGTTGTCGTCAACAATAACAAATTGTTCCAAGAACCAGTCCATTGTGGTCACAACATTAGAGGTAAGTTTTTATTTCTGTGCCTCCTCCTCCTCCTCTCTCTTCTCTGTCTTATTTTTTCTCCTCTTCAAACTCATTCTTCTTCTTTTCCTTTGTGTCTTGTATGTATATAAACACAAATTATTATTATTTCTTTTTATTTAAAGGAGACCAATCCAGGTTTAAGACAAAAATAATTAGATGCTAGAACTTACTCTCTGGAAAATCCATTCCTATGTATTGGTGACTGTGGATTACTGATGTTCTAGGATCCCTTGGGCTTACAGCTGGCTGAAGTAGGAGGTACAGGGGTCGACAGAAGTGCATTATTGAATCAAGGTGAAGGTCTCTTCTGTTCATGTTTGAGTGAATAAATACTGAAAGTGATAAAATAATAATAAAAGAGTGCTAGACTGAATTTTTTTAATTGAATGTATTTTGTGTGTGTGTGTGTGTGTGTGTGTGTGTGTGTGTGTGCGTGCGTGCGTGCGTGCATGTGTGCACGTGCGCGCGCATGTGGGTACGTATGTGTCTGTGAGTGTTTTTATTGAATAACATATAACCTGAGTACCATTGGGTCTGCATCATAATGTTTACCCATTTTATTGTATTCATAGTATGAAATAAAGATAAGTTCACTTTTCTAGCACGTTTTCATTTTACAGGGTTGCAAAGTGTAGTTAAGGAAGAAGATCTCCTGAGTGATGGCGAAGGTGCCCACACCCAAGCAGGCCTTAATACAGGTCTTGATCCTTCATCCCCTGCAGTTACCTCACAAGTCATTCTGAATGGTAATCATTTGTTACTTCAGTTTCTGCACAGTCATTGTCAGCCACTGGCATCATTTATTTGCCTTTTACAGAGTAGCTTATCATTGTTGCTGTTTATTTAGTGTGTAATTGCATTACTTTTGTTGATTGGATCTGTGAATCTAATTTTTAGTTCAGAATGCTCTTTCTTGTTTTAGTCTAAATGCTAAGAATTTTATAATTAGATTTTTGTTTTCAAAGTTATTGCTTCATATCCCAATGCTGTTTGGAAAATGCTGTTCTCATTTTTTATATTTTTTTGTGAAATGTCTCTACACATTGGTGGCTCTACTAGTGCTTAGCCACAAAGGAGTCAATTAGTAGACCTTGTGACCTTACCTGATTTCTCCTTTCCATGAATTAGCAGGAAAAATGTTTTTTTTTACTAATGCTGTGAATATCAGACATTATAGCTACTATAATGCTATAAGCATTAGTAACAGCAAAATAAGATAACATAAAATATTTTTGTAAATCAAGGAAAAGAGTACTTGTAATTAGCTCATTGGTGACTTAGTACAAGTGTAGCCATCTATGTGTAAAAACAATGAATAAAGTATACTCACAGTGGGCTTGGCATGCACATACATGCCATGCCTGGTGGCACTGAGGTAAGTGCTGTCTGATTGTCAAAGTTTTATTGTGATTAGATTAATGAATCGGTTACCACATGGATTCAAAGTATTTAAGTTATGTCTTAGATCAGGGTCCAGAAGGCAGAGTATAAACTTATAAACTTATCTTTGCATATTCTTACTGATATCTATATAACTATTTCTTTATTTATTTTCAGATCCTATTCTCTCTGTGTCAGGTGAACCCCTAGGCTGTGAAGAGTGCCTTCAACAGGATCAAGATGATGCTGATATTGTCATAGTATAAAGTTGGCCTGATTTACAAATATCAATTTCACAATATCTTTCTCTTTGATGGCTGATATTTACACGTACTCAGTGGTAAAATGACAAGGAAAATATGATGAAAAGGAATTTTATTAGAAATTTTGTATTGTAAATCAAAATTACTTTCTTCTTATCTAATTGACCAGTTGATTATTTATTTTCATTATATAGATGCATATATTTGAATATATGATAAGAGTACTATATATTCATTAGAGGTTTATAAGTTTCCACTACTTGTCAGTAGATTAATCAAGCCATATTTATAGGAATACACATTGAAACTGCCCTTGTGATGAAAACATTATTTGGACTAGATAGTTTCATATTCTGAATCACCCACACATCGAAATAGAAAGATGAACATGTTTTTATCATGTTTACTTGATAATATTTATAATAACTGATATGTTATTTCTATTTTCATAATGTATTGTCTCTAGTGAAAGTCTTGAATTTGATTATGTTGCATGGAGGTGAAGAATAGCTTACTGCTTTTACATGTAATATCTGTGATATAAATAACACATATTATATTGTGGTTCATGGATATATATTGCTCATATACTGAAAGCTTAGCACTACTAGTTATGATAACAGCAAAGAATGCTGAGCAATCTCTCAAATTTGGATTTCAGCATCTCCAAATGTACAGTAATTGCACCCATGGTAGCAAACAACTATTATATTATAATATAAGCTGTCATATAACAATGAAAGTTCTCTGAAAAATAATAGAGAAAGTCAGGGACAAGAAGCAATATCAAATATACTTTTTTCTGGCTAAAGAGTATTTGAAAATGGCAGAGAAGATTGATAAACATATGTAAAGGGAAATCTTGTTATTCCTGTGTTACTTTAATATATTAGATTTGCTTTGACATGAATTTCAAATTTGGGAGATTTCATTTCTGTATATAGGTTTTAGTGTTATTACTTTCAAGAACAGAAATATACAATAAATCAGGAAAATGAAGCAATAGAAAGCCAAGGAAAATGTTATATCTTTGTATTTTGTATGGATATTTATGAATATATATTTTAGTTATGTATTATAGAAATAAAATGTAATCTAAAACTGATATCAGACATGTAATTATTATTCATTCTTTTCATACACAGAATATATTTATATTTATATATACATAACAGTAAAGAACCATCTATAGGGAGGCCCTTGCCATCTCCAACACTCCCCTTGTCATTCTTTTTCACTTTTGAATTTTATAACTCATGTGGGGTTTTCCTTTTAGTTAATATCCATTGCTAAGAACTGCATTTAGATAGCATCCCACATACCTATATTTCAACCATTAATGTTCAATGAACAGTTGAGCAAAAGCTTTTAGGCACTTTCACATATTCTGTTTAGTAGTCAAGTGTCAATACCATACAATACTGACACAAACTGTCTCTTGAAAGTATGAAACGTTTCTTTCTTTCCTACTTATCTTTAATGCCAAATGCTTGAAGAATTACTAAAGTTTTTTAATCCTTTGAAGATTTCATTGTTCTTTTTTGATGACTAGACAGCATTATTCAATAAGCCTCTAAACAGTTTAAATGGTCTTCAAACTATGGATCCCAAAAGCCCAACTGTGCCAGGTATACACAATCCATATAGACAATTCATGCTTGACAAGCTATCACCTTTGATTTTTCAGATCTTACCAAAAGAAATTGATATCCTGGAAATTTTCATTTGGGTCAAGTTTATAGCATCCAAATTGTTCAACGCACAATATTTTTCATCTTTTGTTGCAAGGTCCCCACAAAAATCTTTCTTGATTAGTTTGTCTGTGGCTTTCCCCCATATACCAAAAGTCTTTTCTCCTTTCAGTATGTATTAGTCTCCAATTTTAAGGGAATTGTAACAATGTATTGAGTTATTGGATGATCAAGGCCTTAAACCAATTAGAAACTCCTAGGCACATGCTTATTGCCAAAGCCTAAAATTAAGATTCTTTGAATCAGATCTTGAGTCTGATCTGAGGCTCAGTAAAATAATAGTAAAATCAGGTTCAGGAGCTCAAAAAGTCTAAGGTGTTTTTGAGGTTCTGGTTAATCTTGACTACTTTATGAATTAGCATATCAAAAGCATTGATTCAGGGCTACATGACCATGTATTACCAAGCATTGCATGTTCCTCAGCTACTGTAAACTTTTAAAAAGGAATGGGTTGACAAGAAGGCATGCTCATGCCAAGCATTAAATTCCCACCATAATACTGCATGAGCAATAGCTATCTATAAATCTTGTTCCCATCACTGCAACCCCTACCCCATTGGGGAATTCAATATGAACTTTCAAACTGATGGAAGATTAATGCTGAACAAGTTGGAAACAAAACAACTGGGGGAGAACTAAGGCACACATAATTATGCATTTTGCATAATTACTTGTTTCCCTGCGCTGCCCAACTTTTGTGAACATTTTAATTGGATCTACAATTGCATAATTTGAGGCAGGGATGATGATGGCACAGTTGGTGGTCATAAAAAAAGACTATACTCTGCCACAAGTAGTTTTCTTATCCATAAATGTTACTCTCAAACCACAAATCCTTGCATGGGATGTATAAATTGGAACATGAAGACAGTACTTAATGTAACACCTAAAAATATATTCATTCATTCAAATAAACAGGAACAATTATACCAGACCTAAATTCATATTCCTTACCAATTCATTTCATACTCCTTGAATGGTCTTTCATGGTTTTTCTTTTTTCATGGCTTGAATATTTTTTAAGGTTTTTCATAAATTCCACCTTTATTACAAAACCAACATATACCAAAAATGTTAGGTCGACCATCACAACAGATAATGCCTATAGTGATATAAGGTGAGATTAATGCTATTGATTACTATGAATCCCTGGGCTACGGCCGCTTGGTGGTTTAGTAAAGTATCAAATACCAGAGTGAGGGCTAGTCAATCAGTCCTTAGGTTGCCTACCCATCCTGCGCCCTAACCCGGTCTCTCTTAGGGATGTGCCACCATTTGGGCACTTCTCTTGAGCTGCAAGATTTGCTATGCTTTCCTCATCTCCGTTTTTTGTGGGGCATAGGTTAGTAAAGAAATGTATTTGATATCTTCAATATGTGTATATTGGCGTGTGTGTACGCAATTGTGTATGCGCGTGCATTCGTGCTGAACAAGTAGTAAAGAACACAAAAATATGACGAAAGCCTTTCGGCATATTCATGTGTGTGTGTACGTGTGTGTGTGTGTGTGTACGTGTGTGTGTGTGTGTGTGTGCGTGTGTGTGTGTGTGTGTGTGCGTGCGTGTGTGTGTGTGTGTGTGTGTGTGTGTGTGTGTGTGTGTGTGTGTGTGTGTGTGTGTGTGTGTGTGTGTGTGTGTGTGTGTGTGCGTGTGTGTGCGTGTGTGTGCGTGTGTGTGTGTGTGTGTGTGTGTGTGTGTGTGTGTGTGTGTGTGTGTGTGTGTGTGTGTGTGTGTGTGTGTGTGTGTGTGTGTGCGTGCGTGTGTGTCTGCGTGACTACGTGCTTGGACACGACACGGCCATGCCTGTGTGCATAAATTAGCGTTGTGTGAATGAGTGTATGTATATATATATGTGTGTATTTACATAAGTGGGTTTTTTTTTAATAGTTTTCCTTGGCTGCGGCATACCTTGAGAGGAAGGGAGATAACCTTCCGTATGGTAACTGGTTGCTGGAGGCAGGGTATAGAAACAACCAATCAGGAGGCTCGTATTAATGACATCATTCTCTGCGACCAACCGGAGGGTCGAATTCGCAAGGCGTCAGCACACACCCCCAAATCCCTTTTTTATAAATTACTCATTTACTTCATCTACGTTCTCTTCAAAATCTGATTGATTTCCTAAAGCACTTTTGAGAACAATATACCAAACGACCTGGTAATAAAGAGTTTAAGTACAACGTTATCCCGAAATTGCCCATAACACGTTCTTGGCAACCGGATATACGAAAGTTGGCACCCTCTCAACCTCCCGCGTCAGCAGTCAACCTGCACAAGTTGAAAGAGTGGGTTGTAAGTTAGCTGCTCCTTCGCGAAAATCCTCGTCATCATGAAGTCTTTCGTTGATATACCTTCTGATAGCCATTTCCCCATCCAGAATTTGCCCTACGGAATATACTCAACTGCTGACAACGTAAGTTCACTCTTAAAATATTTTGTGGAGCAGACGATGTTCGGCAGATGTGTGGAAACCAGTTTTGCTGATATTGATTGCTGATTTTAACATCTTCCCAAGCATGTCATAATATGATTTTGTTAAAATTAGAGTTTAGAGTTCATCTCCTTGTATATGCAATATGTTGAACAAAATATTTTCCTGCTTTTCGTATGTTAATAACGCTTGCTTATTATAACGAGGTTCGTGATGACCTTGAGTGGAGTCTATCCTCAGGCGCGAGACATGTTAATAAATTCACCAACGCCTTATATATAACATGCTTTGGTCTTAAGACTAATATTCGCTCGTACAACGCAGTCGTTTCCAACCTTCCATCATTAATGTTGCTATTATTTAGGTCTAGAAAACTACAAGCGAATGGGATTCGTTGATAACCGCAATTATAGGGGATTATCAAAATTAAAGGGGCCTTGAACATTATGTTAAAAGTGGCATTTGAAGGATTGTCCGTAGGTTAGCAGTTTGTAAGGAAGCAGTCGTGGCTTCGTTTTAACTTATGAGATACATATTTGACTTGTGAAAGATTGCAGTAGGACTTGTAAGGACTTAGTTGCAGCATCTTTCTGGAGTATATATACATATATACAGTATTAGGCTATATAAGATGTAGGTGCCTTGGTAATTTTGTTTATTTGACTTTTTTTTTTTTTTACCTCAATTGATGGTAAAAAAGAGCAGTATTTATAGTATATTGGGAGGGTTAATATATCAGAAAAATTGTTATGGTACTGATGCCAACTGTATGTACGCACATACATATACATACATTCTTGTTCACACATAGATAGGTATACACACACATATACACACACATACGCACACACATACATATATACACACACATATGTACACATACATATATACACACACATACGCACACACATACATATATACATACATATATACACACACATACGCACACACATACATATATACACACACATACGCACACACATACATATATACACACACATGCAACGCCCCCTCCCTCCCCACACACACATGCACACATAAATACACACACAGACACTTAAATACACACATACAAATACACACACACATAAATACACACACACACATAAATACACACATGCACATAAATACACACACGCACATAAATATACACACGCACATAAATACACACACGCACATAAATACACACACACACATAAATACACACACACACATAAATACACACACACACATAAATACACACACACACATAAATACGCACACACACATAAATACGCACACACACATAAATATACACATGCACATAAATACACACATGCACATAAATACAACCACAGATAAATACAAACACACATAAATACACACACGCACATAAATACAGACACACACACACATAAATACACACACACACATAAATACGCACACACACATAAATACACACACACATAAATACACACATGCACATAAATACACACATGCACATAAATACAAACATACATAAATACAAACACACATAAATACAAACACACACAAATACAAACACACATAAATACAAACACACACAAATACAAACACACACAAATACAAACACACACAAATACAAACACACATAAATACACAAGCACACATAAATACACACGCACACATATACAGACACACACAGACATAAATACACACACACACACATAAACGCACATAAATTCATACACACATGCATAATTACACACATGCATAAATACACACATGCATAAATACACACAAGCAGAAAACAAATCAAGGAAGGAGCATCAGACCACCCAGCTGACGATCCTCCTCCCCTTGACTGCTCACTCTGTATGACCTTCATGCTAAGTTTATCACCCTCCTACAACAACTCTTCTTGGCTCCTGTAACGCACATTAATTAACCTTGTCACACACACAC